TGTCATATAGATGATGCTAAATGAATGTTTCTAAAATAAAAAGAGTTTATTGGCTAAGGCTTTTCGGCATGTAATTTTTGAGTTGAGACTCAAGTTGTTGGCAGAAGCTTAAGAGATCTTTTAACAAAGGTATAAAAAATTTCCAAGATTGTTTCCAAAATACTCCTCTAGGGCATGCTTTGTGGGAAAGGGGTTTGTTGGTGGTCATATATACTTCTGGAAAATGCTGCCTGTTGGATCTGCACCTTCCACCCTTCTCAGGACACATATATTCAAGCTTCTCAGATATTCTCTTTTAATCACTGATATTTAAAACATTTCGACCAAGCATTTTCCCTGCTTTCTTTTCCCAGTTAGTATCTTTTCATATCCCACACATACGTTCTGAGGTATTCTCTGTGGGACTGCTCACATAAGCAAAAGTAGAACAGTAGGAATTAGCAGTGTATGCATGATGATGACCTATACTTACCTAGAATTGGAGAGGCCATACTGGGAATTAATAAGAAAAGAGATAAAGAATGAGGGAATATTAAGGGAAAGACATTTTTCCATGGTAGGCTATTGTTTTTTTATTTTGGTATAATTGCTCCAAATTGTTATGGTCAGTTATGAGTATTAAAATAACTTTGTAGTATAGACTATAGAAGACAGGTTTGAGAATGGAAAACTTGAATTCAGATAATGGCTACTGAGATGCAAAAGAAGGTATTGAGTGAAAAATAGTAGATGAAGGATCTGTAGGATCTGGCAACTAAGAAAATCTGGAAAAATGATTTGGACATTTTAATTCAAAGTTCTAAATGGGCTTCATACTTTTGGATATATAGTTAGACTAAGGTGAAAAGAACACGTATTATTGACAATTGCAAAGATGTACAACAGCAGGGAGTAGCTCCTATAAGTAAGTTTTCAAAATTTAATTTTGTTAATTTTGTTTGAATTTTATATTTTCTCTTAGTAGGAAAGGATTCATTATAATATGGTTTACCTTTTAGAAAGACTCCACATAGAAATCATTAACTTAAATTGAATTCATAGGCAAAATAAAATCATGTCAAAAGTTTTTCCTGGAAAAATTAGATCCTCCTCTTCAAATATTTAATAACGAGGGCTTATTTAGCAGAAACTACATAGTGCTAACAAAGCAAGACACATTTTTATATTATGACACATTTAATTGAGACAATGGGGAAATTCTTTCACACTGCATCATAATATAAAGCAGGCATGTTGGCCTTTGAGAATCATAGAATATTTATACTTTTCATGTGAAATGGAAAACCTAATTTTACCAGTCATTCATGCTAATCAGAAGACTTAAAATAATTATCAAGGAGACTTCATTATAAATTTTTTTTAAGTTTTAATATATGCTAGTTCCCTCCCAACGTTTTGCAGTGCTCCCTTGGGAATGTTCATACTCAGTGAGCAGAAAAGGTGCCTTGGGTTTGAAGAGTTAGGACTCTACTACTGAACCTGCTTCTTGAAAAAATAGGATAGTGCAATTGGATGTCAGAAATACATATCAGAAAACTAGGTAAAAACAATTCAGGTTGAGTATCCCTTATCCAAAATGCTTTCGACTAGAAGTGTTTTGAATTTTGGATTTTTTCAGATTGTGGAATATTTCCATCCACATAATGAGATATCTCAGACTTGGGACCCAAGTCTAAACACAAGATTCCCTTATGTTTCATATGCATCTTATACACATAGCCCAAAGGTAATTTTATACACTGTTTTTAATAATTTTGTGCAGGAAATAAAGATTTCACTGCGTGTTGACTGCGACCCATCACGTGAAGTCAGATGGGGAATTTTCCACCAGTGACGTCATGTGGATGCTGAAAAAGTTTCAGATTTTGGAGGATTTGGGATTTTTGGATTAAGGATGCCGAACCTGTACTTCCAAATACTTCAGATAGGGCCTTAATACTTCTTCCTTTTTATTGTCTTTTCAGACAAATGACCATGGAAACAATTGAGTCCCAGCAGGATGGAAGTGTAAGAGATTCCGTGGCAGAGAGCGAATCTGCTCATATGCAGACTCAGACTGGTCAAAATTCAATCCCTACGTTAGCTCAGGTAGGCAATAGGCAGGCACTAATGGAAGTTAACATATATGGAAATGAGAATTATGCGCAGTTTCTGTTTTCTTGCTGTTGATCTTAAATTTTCCATGTTCCCTGGTTATCAGCCGTTCTTGCTGATTTGCTTTTGAAGAGAAGCTACATGTAACTCTTAATTACTTTTGCATTGTGACAGACACTTGGCAGTGCCCCCACCTCCACTATGCAAAGGGAAAACAAAAACCCCTTCATCATGTGTAATCCTTGGCCAGGCACGGTGGCGCACGCCTGCAATCCTAGCACTATGGGATGCCGAGGTGGGAGGATTGCTTGAGACCAGCCAGAGCAAGAGAGAGACCCTGTCTCTACTAAAATAGAAAAAATTAGCTGGATGTGGTGGCGTGTGCCTGTAGTCCCC